CCCACACATTAAACTTGCTGAGTACCTCTCGGGCCCTGCCCTCCGCACCTCTCCGAGGATGCCCTGCTCAGCTGCAGCCCTCCCCACAGCGTTAGGACAAGAGGAGCAGAACAGCTGCCAGAAAGCCAGGGGCACCCAGTGGGAAGCAGCAAAGCTGGGAGTAGGACCAGCCATCCCTTCCCACCTGGTGAGCTGGCTACTGAGTCTCACATCTGCAGAATTTCATGCGGTCCAGGGGAAAAAGCACTGGGGAGATGCTCTCACCTCTGCCAGGTACCAGCTACATCGCCATGTTACTGACATACAGTCCGACACCAACTACAAGTCTTACTCAAATCCCTCAGGAACAAGTCACAGCCTCTGCTCTCAAGCCAGAGGAGCCCTTAAAAAAGAAAAAAACACCCCCAAAATCAGAGAAAACCACCCAGCAGCACCAGAATAAGAAACCAGAAGCTCAGACTTGCCAACTCATTGTTTAGAGACAGACAAGCAAGGCTCTCCCCTCCTGTCCTAGAGATCACAGCGTATTTAACTAACATCTGCCTCTTTGCCTTGGTCTTTTGAGCTTTCAGAGGTGTTTTCAAGCCTTTCTCAGGAGGTTCAGGAACCAGGAATGCTTTCCTGTGGGAATTTCAGCCTTTGTTAGCAGGACCACATTCCCGGGAACAAAAGCAAGAGAAACAAACTCCAGCTATTGCAAGATCTGGGAGAACGGAGCCGTAAGCATGGCCAGCAGCAACCTTTCTGAGGGACTGGACCACCTGATACGCAAACCATTACATCAGTATCGTTGTATTGCTTTTGAAACCCCTTTGCCTGGAGAGGAGCCCCTCTGATGCCATGAAATCCAGCCCAGGTGGGATACGACCCGGTGCCAAACTGGTCACCCTGCAAAGGCGCACATACCACCAGCCTTCCATGGGAGCAGCTGCCATGGGCAAAGCGCCTGCCCCTTCTCCCAGCGGATCCAACCACAGATGAATGACGCAGCTTAGCCTTTGAGGTACAGCAGAAACGTGCGCAGTGCCCGATACGAGCCAGCCAGACTTACCCGAGCAGCGTGGCTGGGGGTGGTGGGTCTGCAGAGAGCCGGTGGGTGCAGGATGAGGCCCCGGCCGCAGCGGGCGCTGGAGAAGCATCCCCTCGCTGTAAACCTGTACCCAAGGACAGTACTGACCAGGAGCTGTGTGGAAAGGACCTGGAGGCTTTGAAGACCAGAGTCATCTCCAGGCTTTAATTACCCACTCGCTTCCCCCACCCCTGATTATGCACATGAGAGAAATGGCAGAACCCACCAATCTGCTGGGGGGGGAGGAGGCTGCACTGGTCCCGCCCCTGTGTCACCAGGGCCAGGGACCCCAGGGACCCCCTGCCACCCTGGGGGGTCCCAGCCCTCCCCAGCAGCCCAGCAGGGTGAGTACACGGCGGCAGCTGGTCTCTGTGCACGGGGAAGACCAAGACAGAGTCTAGAAAGGGATTTGCTGTGGGTCAGGGCTGTTACAAGATTAATTAATCCATTAATTGGAGTCAGATCAGCAAACGAGGATGCGATGGCAGGAATACCTGGTTGCTACCGGCCCACCACCAGCCAGTCTTTGCCCGAAGGACCACGCTGCACCCTCTGGGAATTTCAGCCCTTTGCGGGAAACCACAACCACGTCCCGTCTCCTTTGGAAGGTGGCTTTCGGCTGCTCCTTTAGAGACAGCCCCGCTTCTGACCCTCGGTGTAAGAGCCTGCGCCATCTCGCAGCCCGGGCGCAGCGTGCCGGGGAGCGCCCACGGCCCTTTCACAGGGTGACGCATGGCAGCGAGCCAGCTGAGACAGGCTCCAGCACCCCGAGGACACTGACTTCAGGCTTGTGTGACCACCCCAGCCTACGCAACCACTCAGAAACTCAAACCAAGAAGAAATGGGAAAAGATGTGGGGTTTTTTTGGTTTG